TATATGTGCATATATGTATGTATATATGTATGTATATGTGCATATATATGTATATGTATGTATATATGTGTATGTGTATGTATATGTATATATTTGTAGGTATATTCATGCCAAGCCTTGTGAGCGATCTGGGACCACCTTTAAAGTATTATTTTGTTCAGTTAGTATGTACTGTATAAACCAGATTTTATCTTTCATCCAGCCTTGGATTCTCAGGACTAGAGATCCCACAAAGGGTTCTCATGTTCCATGCACCCGGTTTCCCTACTATTAATTTAACAATGTTTACTGCTAATTACTATTAATGTTTAATTATTGTGATCACATCGTTAGTCACAGTGACCCTCCACGGATGCGTCATTAACATAATACTTTACTCAGATTTCCATCTTTTTTAAGATGGTAATTAAATATACATAACTTACTGTCTTCACCCCTCTCTCTCCCTCTCCCCACTATGTGTGTGTGTGTATGCGTGCACATATGCATGATGTGTGTGTGTGTGCGTCCATGCGTGTCCACATGCTAGGGACTAGAACCCAGGGTTTCACACATGTTAGGTCTCATCCACGGAGCTTCCCTGCATGAGCCCTGCTGCCGTCTCCATTGTGAACATCCTGGGTGTTAGACCTGCATTGTTGAACAAACACCACCACTGTTCAAAACCCTTCTTCTTACAAAACTAAAACTGGTGGTCACCAGATACCCACTTTCTATTCCCTCCTCCTCCGGCCCCAGCAACCACCCCTCTGCATCACCCCCGGGGATCTGACAATCCTGGGTTCCTTGGATGACAGAAGTCAGGCTCACTAGCCAGTTTGTCACCGGCTGACTTCACTTAGTGTAGCGTTCAGTGCTAGAGCATATGTGTTGCATAGACAAGGCCCTAGGTTCAAGTCCCAGGCCTGGAGAGGTAACTCTGATTAAGGGCAATTGCTATTCTTATAGAAGACCTGGGTTTTGATTCCCAGCCCCCCTGTCAGGCAGACATAACCGGTGCCTCATACGGGGCACCTCACGTATGTGAACAAACCCCACTCCCAAGCCACACAACTAAAATCTTCAATCTAAATTAAATGGAAACATTTAAATCACATTAAGTAAGCCAGGCATGGTGGTGCAGGCCTACAGTCTCAGTACTCGAGGCTGGAGCCTGAGGGATGTGACAGGGTGAGACCAGAACAGGGCCAGAACCTACAAAGGAAACGAAGAAGAAAATAGGGAAATAGTCGTTATCAAAAAGAAAATTAGAACAAAAATAGAACTAATCCCCTCTTAAATTGGAGTGTAAGGTACTGTTGATGATAATATTTCAAACGCCATGGTCCAATCTGGCTTGTTCTTATGGGGCCATCATGTTCCTGACTAGACAATGCCTGAGGCCATGAGTGGCTGCGTGCTCCCGCCCGCTGCTGAGCTCTGTCGGCAGCTCAGGCCGGTCAGAAGCACTGGCCAGCATGGGAGATGGCTCTGCCAGTCCACCACGCTGTCTCCACACTGATTGGCTGAGCCAGACCATCCCGCCATCCGCGCGGTACCCCGGACTCTAATGAGACTCTAATGCTTAATTTTTATCCAAAGGCTTTATATATCTAGAAATGTTCAATTAACAAGATGCTCACACAATTAGAGTTGTTTCCCAATATCTAACCTTAAGATATAAATCGTTACCCAGGACTGTCCTGGACCTATCCGTAGTTCTCCATGCCTCCTCCGTCTCTCCTCTCCTTCTAGCGCTTCCTCTTCCTTCTCCTCTTCCTCTCCTGCGCTCCTCCCACATTAGCTCCTCCCACATTAGCTCCTCCCACATTAGCTCCTCCGATATTAGCTCCTCCCATATCAGCTCCTCTCAAATTACCGAGTTTATTGTAAAATGTAGGTGGGGGGGAGCATATTCTGTTACAAGTTACCAATTTTGTGTCATTCGCAAAGGAGATAATTTGAAAACCCTGGATCCAGACTAGAACTTAGGAACGTTGGGTTCCCGGGCTGTTGTTGTCTCTTGCTTACGTCTCAGGTTTCAAGTGAGTAGGCCAGTGGGTCCTTGGGTCAGTCTTCTGTCCTGGTCTGTCTGTGACCTGTCTTCACATCTCACAGGCTTGCTCATTTGTGACCCGTCCTTGTATCTCGCAGACTCCCTCTTCTGTCCGTGACACGTTTTCATGTCCACAGGCGCAGCCGTTCACCGGGGAGCTCCCCGTCCAGCAGACTCTGCCCATCCTCGGGGAGAAGCTGCATCAGGTGTTCCACAGCGTCTTGGAAAATCTGACCAATGTCATGAGTGGCTACTGCCTGCCCGAGCCCTTCTTCAGCATGAAGGTGAGGGCCTGCAGGACCGGGTGTGCACGGGGCCCTGTGTGGGGCACCATTGTCACAGAAAGGCGTCTTAAGCAGCTGAGGCGCTTTGGGTGACTCAGATGGCCTTTCTGTTTTCATTTCAATCTCGAACGGGGAGAGTGGTCATTCTACCTGCTTGCCACGGCTTCCTCTAAAAACCAAACGAAAAGCAGCTGAAGAGGATCGAGCTCGCTCAGTGGCCCAGTGCTTGAGAGCCACACACTGCTCTTCCAGAGCACCCACGTGGTGATGCCAGCACCCACGTGGGACAGCTCACAAGTGTCTGTAACTCCAACTCCTGGGATCTAATACCCTTTTCTGACCTCGGAGGGCACCAGCATTCGTGTGCACAGCTTACACGCAGACACAGACACATGCGTTTAATTTAAAAATAATAAAAATAAACTAAAAAGGAAAAACGGGTAAAGCCGGGCGGTGGTGGCGCACGCCTTTAATCCCAGCACTTGGGAGGCAGAGGCAGGTGGATTTCTGAGTTCAAGGCCAGCCTGGTCTACAGAGTGAGTTCCAGGACAGCCAGGACTACACAGAGAAACCCTGTCTCAAAAAAAAAAAAAAAACCAAAAAAAAAAAAAAAAGGGTAGAGAAACATCTTTGGATTTTATTTGGTGCTAAGCAAGTGGCTCACAGCATAAGTTTGTCATGTGACCTTATCTATTCCCCCCACCTCCCTGCCCCCCACCATGCTGGCTTTCTAGTTACCCAGAGAGGGTATGGACCCTCCCTGTGTGGGGAAACTGGGGCACCCCGATTCTAGGCTATCTCACAGGCTGCTGGGCCTCGATCTCCATGAGTCATGAGTGGCTACTGTCTGCTGGAGCCTTTCTCCAGGAAAGGCTATAGCCTGAGTGGGTCGAGTTGGGTGAGTGTGCATGGCAGATGGTGGTGCGCATGGCAGATGGGGACACGCACGCGAACCAGGGTGCGCACGGCAGACGGGACGCCCACATATGAGAGGTGGCTTACACGGTTGTCTCTCCGCAGCTGAAGGACTGGGTTCAGAAGCTCATGATGACGCTCCGGCATCCCTCCCTCCCTCTGCTGGAGCTGCAGGAGATCATGACCAGCGTGGCGGGTCGCATCCCTGCCCCCGTGGAGAAGGCAGTCCGCAGGGTGATGGCCCAGTACGCTAGCAACATCACCTCGGTGCTCTGCCAGTTTCCCAGCCAGCAGGTGCATGCCCTGGCCAGCTCCAGCCAGCCCCGGCCACCCACACCTAAGCTCATTCTGTGTCAGGCCTCTCATAAGCTGGGCTAGCACCAAGTGTTGTGGGCCCATGGTTTCTTTTAAACCTTTCCTGTAGAACTCCAGTATTTTCTCCCAAGGGTCAGGCGTTTGATGTGCACCCCAGTCCCCAGGCCTCGCACAGACCACCAACCACTCAGGCTCGGGGAAGTCACTGGTACAAGTAGAACTAACTCTGTCCTTCCCAGGCTGGTTCAAGTCGTTAGCTGTAGAACCTTGTCCCTGGGTCACAGGTTTTAAAGCCCGTAGCTGTAAGCCTGTGAAACCATTAAAAAATTTTAATTAATTAATTAATTTATTTATATATAACAATTAGTTTATATATAAATAAATTTATATATATTATATATAAATAAATAAATTTATATATACAATATATAACTATATAAAATATATTTATATATAAAATATATAAAATTTATATAATATATACATTTATATATAAAATATATAAAATTTATATATTATATATACATTTATATATACAAATATATGACTATATAAAATATAGTTATATGTAGAATATATAAAATTTATAATATATATATATATATTTTTTTTTTTTCCCGTTAGTATACTAACTGTTCACTTTCTCTGGCCCCCCCATATAGTTTATTTTCCCTGTTGGGCATTCCAAAGTCGTTTCCCCTCTGCTCCACCATCGGCTCCACCTCACCCACACACCTCCGCCACTGCCACTGGAGAAGCTAAGTCAGGCCCCTCCCAGAGGTCAACCATTCTAAAGGCGGAAACTGTCTGTTTTGTTTTTTGCAGTGCTGGGCCTCAGGCAAGCTAGGCAAGCACTCTACCACTGAGCTACACCCCGAGCTCCTGAAGGTTGGAAATAATTGTTCAGCCATATAGAGGAACGAAGTTCTGACCCATGCTCCCACCAGGATAAGCCTTATGCTAAGGGCAAGGAGCCGCTCATAGGAAATGTCCAGAACAGGGGATCAGTGCAGACAGGAAAGCTATTAGTGGTTGCCAGGGGAAGGGTTGGGGGAGGGACTAGGACTGGCTGCTTAAAAAGGATGCTGGCGCAGATGAGTGACCAGCCCCCACTCGGCAGATACACCACAGCTGGAGCGGGAAGGCAGTTGTATCCCAGCCAGAAGTGATGAGGACCCACCGAGAGAGGGATGCGCTTGGAACTTTTCTGGAATTTCTCAAGTTTTAGTTTTCTTTAAAAATCCTTTCTTGGGGGGTAGGGGGATGCCTTGAGATGGCTCAGCAGGTAGAGATGCTTACCGAGCAAATCCGGTGGCCTGGGTTGGATCCTCAGAACCCAAGTAAGGGTAGAACTGATTCCAGGAAGTTATTCTCTGACCTCCACATGTACAGTGGCTCATGGATCCTCATATATACCACACACGCGCACGTGCACACACATACGTGCGTGCACACACACATACACACACATACACACACCCATACATGCACACACACACACACACATATATACACATACACACACATACATACATACAAGCACACACATATACACACACACATACACACACACGGCACGCACACAGACACATATACACACACGTATACACACACACATATACACGCACATACACACACACAAACACCACAGTAATTTTAAAAAACAGGCAACCTATCACATGAACTCTGACCCCTCCCCTCCTGCGGCCACACGGTTGCCGGACACTCCATCCTCTTCTGGGTCCTGTCTGGGGCGTGGATCAAACCATCATACAATTCAATCACATCTTTGTGAGATTGTTGTCATTTTGGGCCCCTGGATCCCCAGGGAGACATTGAAAAGGGTGAACAGGGGGATGTTCCGCAGAGGCCAGGTGGCTTGAGTCTTTGAGGACAACCAGTCTGGGACCTCCCTGGGAGCCCATGGTGGGTCCCCTCATAATGCTACCCTGTAGCGACTGGATCATGAGGTTGGCAGTGGCCCGACCTGTTTTGTGTTCTCATCCAGATAGCCACCATCCTGGACTGCCACGCGGCCACCCTGCAGCGCAAGGCGGACCGAGAGGTCTTCTTCATGAACACACAGAGCATCGTGCAATTGGTCCAGAGGCAAGTGCATCCCAGGCCCGAGTAGCATATAGAAAGCCCTGGCTTCCACCCCCAGCACAAGGAGCAGGAGACGGAAAGGGAACGCATCCCCTGTGTTTAGAAATATTACAGAAGAGAGAAAAAACGTGGAGGGATAACATGTAACACTTGTTTCAAAAGGAAGGGAAATCTCTGCAAAAAGTGTTTCGGCAAATGTCTTCAAGTTTGACTTTTGAAAACAGCTTTTTTTGTGTGTTGTATAGCTAGTCGGAAGGTTTTGTTTTGTTGCTGAAATCTGCTACAACAAATCAACTTTCTTCTTTGAGTAGCTCAACTCTTTTTTTTTTTTTTGGTTTTTTTTAGAGACGGTTTCTCTGTGTAGCCCTGGCTGTCGTGGAACTCACTCTGTAGACCAGGCTGGCCTCAAACTCAGAAATCCACCTGCTTCTGCCTCCCAAGTGCTGGGATTAAAGGCATGCGCCACCACTGCCTGGCTGAGTAGCTCAACTCTTAAGGCTTCCCCTTCTCTCTGGGCCTGAGCAGGTGCTGTGTAGGGGCTAAAGTTCTGGACACTAGCCCAGGCTGGACCATGGTTTGATGGAAGTCACAGCTCCTTTGACATGAGAATTTGAATTGTACTCTACATACTCTATAACCCCCCCTCCCCTCCCTTCCTCCTACCCTCCCTCCCAACGTCCTCCCACTTCCTCCTCCCTCCCTCTTCTCCTCTCCTCCCCTTCTGTCCCCCTCCTCTTTCCCTTTTTTCCCTTCTTTATTTCTCTCC